CTGGATGCCTTCAGTCTGGGTGGGCGATTCTGTGCAATATGGGTGACTCTTAGCACGGTGGGTGACTCTTGACAATATGGGTGACTCTTAGCACGGTGGGTGACTCTTGACAATATGGGTGACTCTTAGCACGGTGGGTGACTCTCGACAATATGGGTGACTCTTAGCAGGGTGGGTGACTCTTAGCAGGGTTGGTGACTCTTGACAGGGTGGGTGACTCTTGGCAATATGAGTGACTCTTATCAGGGTGGGTGACTCTTGGCAATATGGGTGACTCTTAGCAGGGGAGCCATTCGGGCACAGGCATCTTTTTGTATCAATAGTCGTGTCTCTCTATAATAGTATACAGAGAAGAAGGTGGCTAACGCTTGTCACCACCATCTCTGCTTTAGACGATTTTCTGCCATTTACCGCAATGAAACATAGTCCCAACCTTATATGAATCGTTTCATTGAATATTTTCATTGGACATTTTTTATATCTCCCTCAGTGTTCCTCTCCATACAAATCTAACTATTGTTCAATAAATAATATATAAAAGTTTACGCCCGTATTTAGGGATCAAATTGAGATTTTTCTGAATTACAATCCGTTGTGTGGTTCTCTGGCAATGAAAAAGTCCATGTACAGTCGTTGTGTGGCAGTAGTCAACGCACATGCTGGCCAACACGCTACTGACCTTGTGTGCCATAGCTACCAAGTGAAGTTAGTTCAATATCTTCTCCGGCTTCTCGTACGCATTACAACATATATTTTATATCAAAACTTAACGTGCCAATTAAGACTGTGTATGCAGTTTTTAGTCGTTTTTACTCAAACCCAGAGAGAGCCACTTTAACGATTAATTCTAGCTTGCCACGTTTCTCTTCTCTTCTATATAAACCCATACAAACTTACCTCCTCTACTCACAACTCTATCAAGAAGACAAAATGACTGTCATTTCTAATTTGATGTTGGTAATTGTTTTACTGTGTGTTGTGTCTTTACACGTTGCCAGCCCCAAACCTCATTCACGTACCCGAAAGTCTGCTGATGGAGAAAAAGAAGGTAAGCCGCATCTTTGGACTGGGAAGTTATTGTACTGTTCTCTTGACTGTTCTCTGTTGACTCCGTCACACCAGAAAGACGTTCTCACTGCGCTGTCGCTACGATTGGAAATTAGAACAAAGCGTGTTAAGGTCGCCATTAGTGTTGTTTAAGCGTGTAGGACACCCCAGACATCGTGCAATTGTCGCCACTATTCGCAAGTCACGGCCAAATACTGTGATCTGCTCTGGATTGTCTTGTGAACGTCATAGGATCGCGAATGTTGTTAGACAGGCGTTGAAACTTCGCGTAGACGCTGCTAAAACGTTACATCGCAATACGATTGCAGTATCGCGGTATGAGGTGACTGTTTCTAAATTTGAAAGTACATTTCCTGTTGCCGTAAGATCCCAAATTTGAGTAATAATTGAGGGTACTCGAGGACCATGAGTATGTGAGAGACTTTTCTGGCACTCTTTCAAAAACGTGTTATTCTAACCATGATCTTAACTAGTACAACATCCTCACAATGGTCAGGGTATTGCGAACATCGTCTTATTCCTTGACTACAATAGCCACCTTTCTTGTTCGCAATAGTTTGACATTGTGAAGATGAGGGTACTATTAAAGATGGGGAACGACAGTAGTAAAAACACACAAGATAAAACATCTACAGTGTAATCTTTGAGTATAACAAATTATATGTGAGTATGGTATTTATTTCAGATTGTTATAACATTACAAAAGACAAATGGTTGAATTATCAGATTTTGAAACTAAGTGCTGTTGAAACCGAAGATGGATGCAAACCATTATGTGAGAAGAACAAATGTGTCAAATTTTGGACAAACAGATTT